TGTCCTTAAGACGAAAATAAAGGTTCAATATAAGTATTGCCCATTTTTTAATGTCCTTAAGACGAAAATAAAGGTTCAATACAAATATTGCTAATTTTCTATCAAGCCCCTAAAGACGAAAATAAAGGTTCAATATAAATATTGCTAATTTTCTTTTAAGCCCCTTAAGACGAAAATAAAAGTTCAATACAAATATTGCTAATTTTCTATTAAGCCCCTTAAGACGAAAATAAAGCTTCAATACAAATATTGCTAATTTTCTATCAAGCCCCTTAAGACGAAAATAAAGCTTCAATATAAATATTGGTAATTTTCTAATAAGCTCATTAAGACGAAAATAGGCCAGGTGGATAAGGCGCTCGACTCGCAATATGAGGGTCGCGGGTTCGAATCCCCGTCCCACCAAACATACTAGCCCTTTCAGCCGTGGGGCGTTATAATGCTAATTTTCTATCAAGCCCCTTAAGACTATTCGTTGGTAAAATAGTAGCCCAAGAGTTGGTGGTGGGTGGTGATGACTAGTGCCTTCCCTCTAGTCTTACACTGCTAAATTAGAGACGGCTAGCGCAGATAGCCCTCGTGTAGCTTTGCGCGAAATCCAAAACAAACAAACAAACTTTCAACCGTGGGGGCATTATAATGTTACGATCAATCCCCATATTCGTTAGTAAAAGAGTAGCCCAAGAGTTGGCGGTGGGGGATGATGACTAGCTGCCTTACCTCTAATCTTCCACTGCTAAATTATGGACGGCTAACACAGATAGCCTTCGTGTATTTTTGCGCGAAATTCAAATCAAACCAATAATGTTCCCGAAGTTTTGTTTTAAAAATATATTGTCGAGAATATTTTTTTTTGGGGGGAGGAGGTCAGAGCTGTTTTAAGGTTTATAATGTGGACACAACTGTGGTCGAAATGTGAAAAAGCTCTAACCACTCAGAATTGTTTAATGGTTTCACAGTGCAATGCTTCTTCAGAAACTTCGTGTGGTTTTTCCATTAGACCAGCAAAAGTTGGACGAGAATGAACGTTTCACGAAGAAAATAATTTAAGAAAGAAAAAACAACAACAACAACACATATACGGCAGCGTTTTAACGATAATGATTTCTTTCTTATCACAATATACTTGTTACTGAAAATAAAACAACAGTTATAAGAGTTCCATGTACTTCTGTGAACTTCCAATGGCGATAAAATGACAACTAAAAATTCTTTTATAGAAAGATCAGGATTAGTGACTCGGGTTTTACAAACGTTGTTCGTTTGATCTTATTGAAACCAGTGAGGGGTGAAGAAGACAGTGAATGGTTGCGTCTGTTGGTTAGGTTTTTAATTTGGTTAATGTGAGTGGAAAACATCCCACTGTAAACTTGGAATAAGATGTATTAGGGATAATAAAAAATCCACTTAAACTTTTATATGTTTACATATCTGCTTATACAAGTTTCGGCCCGGCACATGGCCAGGTGGTTAAGGCGCTCGACTCGCAATCTGAGGGTTGCGAGTTCGAATCCCCGTCCCACCCAATATGCTCGCCCTTTCGGCCGTGAGGGCGTTATAATGTGACGGTCACTACCACTAGTTGTTGCTAAAAGAGTAGCCCAATAGTTGGTGATGACTAGCAGCCT